CCAAATCAAAGACTCAATACCCTTCACAATAGCAACAAGCAAAATAAAATACCTAGGAATATATTTAAGTAAGGAGGTGAAATACCTCCACAAGGCAAATTATGAAATACTGAGGAAGAAAATAGCAGAGGATGTAAACAGGTTGAAAACCATACCATGCTTGTGGTTTGGCAGAATCAACATTGTTAAAATGTCTATACTACCCAAAGTGATCTACAGATTCAATGCAATCCCTATTAAAATACCAACATCATTTTTTGCATATCTAGAAATAATAATTCTGTGCTTCCATATGGACCAGAGAAGACCATGTATAGCAAAAGCAATCTTAAGCAAAAAGAATAAATTGGGTGGCATCAATTTACCAGACTTCAAGCTATACTACAAAGCTATAGTAACTAAAACAGCATGATACTGACAGAATAACAGAGACATAGACCAATGGAACAGAACTAAGAACCCAGATATAAAACCATGCTAATATAGCCCTCTAATCTTTGACAAAGCAGACAAAAACATACACTGGGGAAAAGAATCCTTATTGAATAAATAGTGCTGGTAAAATTGGATAGCCACATGTAGAAGTCTGAAACAGGATTGTATCTCTCACCTCTCACAGAAGTCAACTCATGGTAGATAACAGACTTAAACCTAAGTCATGAAACTATAAGAATTGTAGAAGAAAATGTTATGATGATTATATTTTAATGCTATAGCCTAGAATTAAAATTATCTTTGCAAAGCCCTAATGTCCAGTATGTGTAGGAAGTATGTGTGGTGTTGTGTATGTAGTAATGACTCCCAATGACTATAGCACAACTAGTTGTTCCTTAATCTTTAAACTTATGGCTGTTTCTTTACTCAGTGAAGACTTGGCTTCCAGTTATGTGTCATGTAAGAAATTTTTTCCCTAATCATTAGTAAGTTAAACACAGAAATGTAGTGACTCTTCTATAATGCTAATTTTTACTGTGCTACAGTATGATAAAGTTGAGCACTATAAATATTTATGTAGTATGAGATCAAAAAGACAGCTGTGTAGGTGAGTATTTAACTTGAGTTTTTTAAAAACTTAATGCAATGTTTGTTAAATATGAAGGATTTAAAAATATTTAAGAATATGAAGTCTTAGGCTCATCACTCAGAAATTTACTTTGTATCATTTTTAGTGGTATGGTATATTCTTATGTAGTATTTCATTTGCTTCTCCCACCAACTGTAGGTAGTAGCAGGTAGCCACAGTTATATTTCCATTTTATTGATGAGGAAAGGGCGGCTTAGGGAGGTTAGGAAATCTGCCTCAGAAAGTGTTAGCAAGTCACAGCCAGTAAGTGGCAGAATCAGCCAAGGCCAGACTGATCTTAAAGACCAATGTCCCAACCAAAGTGCTATATTTTGAAATTATATACAGGAAACCTTGAAAAAATATTAGTAAAGGTGCCTTTTGGCCAGGCTGAAGTCTAAAAGAACTTAAGCAATATCTTGATTTAGAGTCCAAGTTTGTACCTATTTTCCATATTGGCTTGAGGAATCATGGGACAGTACTAAACTTGTCAATTGTGCTATATTATTCCTGGGAAGGACTCTCTGCTTCTACAGTGATAGTAATCATGACACTGGGTATTCCAACATCTGCAGTTTGGACAGTAATTAAGAGAATTTTGTCTTTTTTGGTGAAATATTTCCCTAATTCTTTCTGAAAAGATGGCAGAAAAATTCTCATTTGATGCCTCTTATTAGCTGGGTGACCTTTCCCCTTTTATATTCTATGCCTTGGGTGCCATCATGAAGGAAAAATAATCCTTACTCTTCTGATACTATTGTATGCTTAATGGAATTCTATTATACTTTTCATTTATGGCAGTTGGTCTTTTATTCCTTTGGTATGTAGACAAAGCTTATGAAAGCTCTATGTACTTTCTTCCTGAAATGCATACATATTCTCCATTTCTACATAATTTTAAATAGTTTATGGAGATTATGGTAAGTATTATGAACATTAATTTTATTGCAATAATTTTATTGGAAATTTTGTTGGGAATAAATTATATTTCAAATTCCTAATAGTTATGACAATCTCTTTTTCCTACCTGAACACTTTTTAGTCTCATTTAAGGGTGAGGGAATAAGAAGGAAGAAATAAAAAGCCGAGGGGATTCCTTAAACCTAAAGAAAACAAAACAACATGTTCATACACTGAAACAAAACCAAAAAATCTTATGTAGGTGAATGCAAGTTGTACTGAGTAATGTATTTCTGGAGTTTGTAGATTAAGGTTCCCAATTACTTACAGTGTTATCTAATAGTGAATTTAAAGTCATCTTTCATATTTTTACATGGATTGTAGGAAGATTGCCTGATAAATGATTTTTGAACTCCCTAAGATAGATATTATATAATAAATGCTATGTTTTGATTTGTTCTTCTTTTACCACATACTATTTTATTTATAGTATTTAATTTAGAGAAAAACAATCAAATCACTTGTTTCCTTATAGAAATAATTTTTTTAGCGATTTTTCTGCATTAAAAAAGCAAGTTGCTGAAAACCAATGTATGGTCAGAAAAACTTTATGGTCTAATACTTCAATCAATCCCTATATCTTCTCTTCTGAGATAAATATAAATCATATTCCAAATACAGATAAAATACTCAATTGATGATTAAATGGTTGTCTACTTGCTGTTTTATAAATTGTGACAAATATTATAAATGTTAATCCAATTATCTTAACCTTCAGGATATTCTACAGGTGTCCTCTTGCTGATATTTTAAATATCAGATAAGGTATATAACATAAAAATATATGACTATTACTATGTAATACATTAATAAAATTATGATTTATAATATAAAAATACTGATAATTTATTTTTAGCTCTAATATAGCTCATCTAGAACAAGCTTTGTAGGGATTTATTTCTTTATTAATAACTTTATTACTTGAAATGTTTTTTCTCTTCTTGGATTGTTTAGCTTTATTGATTGCTACATACAGTGATGAAAATTATAATTATTTACAATTTATAAATGATTCTCTGATGTTCCTTCTTATTTCACTGAGAATATAGAAGTTCCATGACTCCCATCTTCCTCTTTACCAGCCTGCTGCCTTTGTTCTCAGGTTTCTACCTTCTCTCCTGTCAACAAACACTAAACCATGCTACAATCTGAGGCTAACTCTCTTCTTGTCTACTTGATCCCAGCTCCTCTCACCTACTCAAGGACATTGATCCTGTAATTGTGCCTCCTTTTCCTTCATTGTCAATTTTTTCCCTCTTTGCTGGGTCATTCCCATAAGCACCCAGATGTGTAATAATATCTCACATATTTAAAAATAAGGAAGGAAAAATACCCTGGACTCCACATCCTCTTATAAGTTCATATTGATTTCCTGCACTCTGCTTTATAGCATACCTCTTTAAGTTTGTTGCCACTTTTTCATATCTTTCTCTCTCGTACCGACTGTAGTTTGGCTTTCATCCCCGTGTCTATACTGAAATTTTTTCTCATTGACTTTTGCATTGTCAAATTCTGTGATTGATTCTCAGTACTCTTTTTCAACCTCCTGGCAGCATTTGTCACTGTTGTTCATTTCTTTTTGGAAGACTTTATTCACTTGGTCCTTGGGCACAGCTCTCATATTCTCCCACTGCTTCACTGGACTCTTTCTTAGTCTCTTTTGGTACTATTCCCTTTTTTCCCTGAACTTTGAAACAATGGAGTGTTTCATGGCTCAGTCCAAGGGTGCCTTCATTTTTTTCTTTACATTCACTACCTAGCTGGTCTCTTCCAGTCTTGTGGCTTTAAATAGTATCTATATACTGATGAGTCTCACATTTAAATTGCCTACTCAAACTTTTTCCCTAAACTCTGAACATGTATACCCAACATTCATCTTCACTTGAATGTCTGTTAGACATACTACATTTAACATGAATGAAAATAATTCCTTGATTCCTCCAACTCCGCAGCTCCTACTGCATTTGTGCCCACCTAGTAAATGGCTGTCTGTTGCTCAGATGAAAACTTTGGAGTCATCCTTGGCTTCTCTCTTTTATCAACACGTTACAGCTGATCCATCAGAGAATCCCGTTGACTCCACCTTTGCAACATATCTAGAAGGTACCCTTCTCATAACTTTCACTGTTACCAATTTGTTCAAGCTGCCATTTTCTCTCCTGAACTATCACAGAGGCCTGCTAACTAGTCTCTCTGATTCTATGCTTGTCTCTTTAGGGTCTTTTTTCAAACAGACTCATTCCTTTAAAATATAAATCTGCTAAGGGTCACTTGTCTTAAAACCTTCCCATGGCTTCATTCTGATTCAGAGTAAAATCACTTTACTTACTCCCTGCTGTCTTCCTGACTTATTTCTCACCACTCTCTCCTTTGCTTACTTAGTTGGCTCTAGCCGCAGATACTCCAAATATACAGGCTCTTTGCTCTTTCTTGTAGGTGATAAACACTTACTTGTTTCAGGGTCTTTGCATTTACTTTTCTGTCAGCCCCAGATACTCCTCTCCCAGATATATACATGGCACAGTCCTCATTCCTTTCAGGTCTCTGCCCAAATATCACTTTGTTAGTCATGACCATCCTTTGTTAGTCATAATGCAAACAACCCTAACAATCTCCTACCTCACCCTCTCTATCGCTTTTTTCATGCTTATTTTATTTTATAGAACTTATCACCATCCCCACTAGAATAGAAACTCCATGAGATAGAGACTTAGTTTTGTCAACTTCTAGACCCGTGCTTGGAGTATAGGAAATGTTCGGTTATATTTTATATGCCATGACAGTATTAGTTCCTAGCAGTTTATTAATATTTTATTTTAAAAATATATTATGAATGTTGACATTTTAATTTATAAATGTAATATAGCAACTAATTATTATAAAATTTCCTGTGACTTAACTTCTTGAATTACATATAAATTAAGCCAATTTAGTAGAATGAAACAACATGTAGCCTTTTGTTTGATTTTTATCCTAGGTACGAATTAATACAGAAGGGAGTAACTGAGCCTAGAGCTGTTGGGAATGTTCCAGATGTCTACACCCAGATTATGCTTTTAGAAAATGAGAACAAAAATTTAAAGAAAGACTTGAAGCACTACAAGCAGGCAGCTGAGTATGTTATTTTTTAAGTGACTTTTTTTTTACTTTTGGACTAAAAAAAGAGTTCAGTGAGGCTGATATGTGTAATGTATGAGAGGCTTAATTTTGGAAAATTAAATTATATTTAAGTTCTAGTCATAAAGAATTTGAAAGGCTTCAATAGCAAATTAATTAAACAGATGACCAGAACTCTCACAACTACAACTCACCAATAAGAGTAGAATGCAGGAGGATGGGTAGAAGATTGTTAATTTGTTATATAACAGTCACTTCCTTATGTATTTAATAATCTTTTCATGGTTTATGAAATTTTCACCTTGGAAGATAAGCTAATATCTGAAATAATAATAAAGTTATAGAAAGCAGAGAGGAAGAGTTAGTTTATTCCTAGTAGAGGAATTTTAGTATTGAAAAATTCCCCAAAAGGAATATACACTATGGATGTTGGGTGATAATGTGATGTAGGTTTATCTGTTGTCAAAAATGTAATACTCTGATGGGGGATTCTGATAATGGGAAAGGATAGGCATATGTAGGGTTAGGAAGTATATGGGCCATATCTATACCTTCTGATCGATTTTGCTGTGAACCTAAAATTGCTCTAAAAGTAAAGTCT